TTGAGAGCCAGTTCAAAAGGAGGTGGGAGAGGACAGGGCGCCCAGTCACAATGATCTACAGCTAGCCCCTTCCAGGGGACAAACACAAAAAGTGGGTAAAGGCAGACAGTGGTTGGTGTAAGATATGAAAAAACATAGATAAATTATCAAGGGCTCATGAGGGAGGTTGGGGGAGAGGGGAAATGAGCTGATACCAGGGGCTCAAGTAGAAAAAAATGCTTTAAAATGATGATGGCAACATAGGTACAAATGTACTTGACACATGGATGAATGTATGGATGGTGATAAGAGCTGTATGAGCCCCCAATAAAATGATTTATATATATATGTATATTCGAGGATAAGCCGACCCGAATATTAGCCAAGGGACCTAATTTTATCATGAAAACTGCATTTAAAATGTGCTGAAAGGCTCGCCTTGTATTTGAGTGTATAACTATATATAACTATATATGTATAACTATATAGAACTATAACTATATATAAAACTATACACACACACACACACACACATATAAAACATTATATACACACACACATGCACACAGAACACTGTATTAGGAGCTTCTACAGATATTATTATAATCCATTATTTCAAGCACAATTTCTGCCCACAATTTCAATATATTTTCTTTTCTTCTTGAACTCCTTGATATCAGCTTCCCTTTATCCCCTCCCTCCCCCATCTTGCCACCCTCCTGAACCCTCAGTATATTATGTATTATTATTATTTATTATTTTTGCCTTAACTGACACCATCCTGTGTATCCATTGTCCTTAAATTCTGATGATTGTTCCCTTCGCGTGGGGTTATACAGCCATCACAGCCATCTGTCCTCCCGCCTCCCCCACCCCTTCCTAGACCCTCAGAGACCAACACTGCTCTTCCTGTGTCTGAGGGGACACTGTGTCTTGAATTCCGTGCATCGAAGAATCTTTTCATACCCATGTACGTGCGCAGGACGAGCAGGATGAGTGAGGTAGAACTAGGGCCATAGTAGTGGGAGGACAGCTGGCTGCTTCATCAGCGCTGCACTGCACCCTGGATGTTCCCCTCGGACTGTGCACAAATGCTACCTTCATAAATATCTTAATGGTGGCTTATTCTTACACCAGCGTGACTTTAGTTTCAGACCTCATGGGTGACCAAGGGGGTTAGTTCCTCCAGCCTCTCTCTGACCAGTAAGTCTGGCTTCTTGCAATTTTGGGTTCTCGTCTACCTTTTTCTCCCACGTGATATGGGACTTTCTAATGTGATCCTTTACAGAGCAGTTGGTAGTGGCAGCCGGGCACCCTGTGGTTGGACCCCTCTCAGCTCTTTCATCGTGCCTCAGTCTATTGGGCTAATTGAAATGCATGCACTGACTCTGACGCATCCCAACTTGAGCCTACACTGTCAGGGAATGGTGTCGGCCCCAGATGACCACCAGGGGACAGCGCAGGCACGTTGCAGGCACATCTGCTCTCCCACGTAACTTGTTTAAAAAATTAATGTCAGGTTCAGTAACTGATTTGCTCGGCTTGGCGTAACTATGGTCGTGATTATAATTAACATTTGAATAAAAAGGTAAGTGTTTCCTTTGTGTGTAGTGGGGTAAACACTGGGCTGTTGACCGTGAGGCCAGCAGTTCAAATTCCCCAGTTCCTCCTCGGGAGAAAGAAGTGGTTACCTGCTCTTGTAAAGATTTACCATCTCAGAAACCCTTGGGAGAATCCGACTCTGCCCGTTAAGGTCAGTGTGAGTTGGAATTGACTTTATGGCTGTGGGTTTGTGTTACAGCATGCATTTGACGCAGAATAATCGGGTCTAACTACTGAATTAACCGTGGTGAAAGTCGTCCTCCAAAATCACCTCTAATTGCCATTCTGGTGCGTTTGCTGTGGGCCCCAGGTGGCTTCTCTAACACTCTAGTTTATTCTGCCTTGACAGACTGATCTACTGACAGAGCTTCAGGCAAGGTGTGGTAACCCAGTGAACAGACACCCGGTTATATGTTGAGAAACTTTTTTTGGAATAAGCCAAATAACTATTTATCCTATCCCCATTTTCGTTTGATAATCTCATTTACCAAGCAGAACTTTTGAAACTACTATTCCACTTGGACCCCGAACCTGCAAAGAATTATCAGGAGCCTAAGAAAAAGAGAATAAATATACAAATAGGGTGTCCTCAAAGGGAATCAAAACAAAAATAATTTTGAGTAAAATGGGACCAGTTTAGCCAAGGAGTCACAACTAGTGGACTCAGTAACATTTCTGACTTTCGATTTAGATTTTAAAGTATGGCTTAAGAGGTAATTATGTAGCATGGCAGGAGCCCTGGCAGTATAGTGGTTACTCGTTGGGCTGCTAACCACAAGGTCAGCAGTTCTAAACCACCTGTTGTGCTGTGGGAGAAAGGTGAGGCTTTTTACTCCTCTAATGATTCCTAGTCTTAGAAGCACACGGGGGCAACTCTACCCCGCCCTGTAGCTTCACTACGAGGCAGAATGGATGCGATGGCAGTGAGATTTTTTTTTTTTTTGTAATTAGAATAGCTAGATTATGATCAAGGCTGGACCTTGGGGTATATAAGGAAGTGATATAAAATCATCAATGGCTTCCTGGAGATTATAGATTTGAATACATATTAGAAATGAATAAGGACAAGCCAAATCCGCTCCCACAGAATCAAGTCCGACATGGTGACCCTGTGTGGGGTTTCTGGTACTATAAATCTGTACAGGAGCAGACAGCCTCCCCTTTCTGCTGTGGTACGGCTGGTGGGCCTAAATCAACCTCTGACCTGGTGGTTAATAGCCAAATGCTTCTCCACAGCGCCCGCAGGGCCCCTTAAGAATAAAGATATACCTTCAAAAGCAGCATCAAAAGAAACGGCTGGCACACAGGGCCATCTTTTCTCAGAGGCAGGCTAGCGCAGTGGTTCTGGGCATGCGCTTTGGGGCTCACCCGCTCCTCTCTGACTAAGGCTGGGACCTTGGTCAGTTTGCTTAATCATTTTGAAAGACAGGGGTCATAATAGAGCCTACCTTCCAGGGTTGTTGTGAGCACCACAGAAGATAGTACATGTCATTGCTCAGAGCTCCATCTGGTTGGTGTGAAGTCAGCTGTCAATCACTGTCTGTCTGCTTTGCCTGGGTAAGACCTGTTGTTTGCACGGCAGGTCGACCTTTCCAAGGGAGGTCTGAGGGCAGCAGGGCCTTGAGTCTCGTGTTCGTGGTACCTGCACAGTGTAGCTCAGCTACAGCCACGAGTACCTGTTGCTGGCGCATTGTGAGATTGCTCATGGTGCATGAGGGTTTCCTCAACATTTCGTATTGAGGAGCGTGCCATGCAGCCTGCGTGTCGCTCATCCTTCCTCTGTGCGCTGACTGCCACTGGGTCAATGTCGACTGATAGCCACACAGTAGGACAGAGTAGCACTGCCCCTGCGAGGGGCTGTCTGCGGCTGTCACTGCTTCCTGAAGTGGAAAGCCCCTCCTGCGCCCTGGGAGGGGCTGCTGGTTTCCAGCCGGGGACCCCGAGACACCAAGCCCAGTGCGTCTCCTGTTCTCTGTATTAAGTGGCGGTGTTCTGAATTTAAATTTGCTTGCAGGACCCATGGATCAAAATTCTTCCTAGTAGCCTGGGAAACCCCGAGCTGCTATTACTCTGCCTACAGAAGGCGGTTCTCAACCTGTGGGTCGCGACCCCCTTGGGGATCGAATGACCCTTTCACAGGGGTAGCCCGATTCATCACAGTAGCAAAATGACAGTGATGAGTTGCAACGAACATCATTTTATGGCCGGGGGGGTCACCACAACATGAGGAACTGTATTAAAGGGTCACGGCATTAGGAAGGTTGAGAACCACTGCTCTAGAACAATAGGATTTAAACGGTTACCTCCCCGCCTACCGGCATTTGGGTGGAAGAGGGCGTTCTTGTTCTGGGGAATGTTGGACGACACTTCCTGACATGCCCACATTGTCTGGGTTGTTGATCCTCCTTTAGTTTTGACTGTGGTGAAAGTGTGCGTAATCCGAGGGAATGTTCTGGTTCCCTCCCCCTGATGTACAACACGCTTACACTCGTTTCCTATCTTCCCATTCTCGCGCGGGGTGGGGGGGAAAGTCTGGGGTTTCTTTGATGTGTGACAGCAGGAAATGCTGCCCACCTGCCGGCAGGCCTGGAGACACCTTGGCGGTCATCGGAGGGGACAGCGCTCTCCATTGCCGACTTCTTACAGGAAAGCTCCAGAACATCACCGTTTTCTTTTCCTTCACAGACACTGACAACCCAGAGCTCTCGCCAGGCCCAGGCGCGTTTCCTTCCGGGTATTATTATGAGAACCAGTGGAGGCCTCGAGGGTTCAAGATGCGCCAGTTTCACGACCCGGACGACGTGACAGAGTGCTTACAGAGGAAAGTGGTGTACTTATTTGGTGACTCCACAATCAGGCAGTGGTTTGAGTACCTCACGGCGTTTGTTCCAGGTTGGCACCCGCTTGTTTTGTTTCCTCACCATTTCCCACATCCGCGCCCCAGCCTGGACTCAGGCAGGTGCCCGCAGAAAAGTTTCAGCTGCAGAAGCCGTCTGGTCGCCTGCCTGAGGGCCGACGGGTGCCTTGCATGTCTCGTGCTCTGGCTGTAAAACAGAAGTGGGCGCTTTCAGTTGTTGTCACTGGCCCCAGGTTATGTTCCCTCGTAGGAAGCCCGCAGCATGGGGGGTACCAGGTGGGCCGCGAATAGCAAGGTCAGCGGTGTGAAACCTCAGTAGAAAGACGAGGCTTTCTACACTATCAATATTTGCAGCCTTGGAAACCCACAGGGGCAGTTCTGCTCTCTTACAGGGCCGCTATGAGTCAGAATGGGCTCAATGGCAGTGAATTTTATTGCTCTATGTTCGGTCCAGCTTCACGGTTACAGTAGATTTAACTGGAAGGAAGCAGCCCAACCGGCCATGCAGTGAAGCCCTCCAAGTGCCATTCCCCGAGCCTTCCACTTGTATGACTGAGCTGGGCCTGGTGCCTGCACAGGGTCTGTGGGAGCCCCAGCACCCTGAACATCCTGGTCTCACTCCCGGGCCCCCTAGTTTGGCTCTCCAGAGCCAGGCAAGGACCACTCCGTATTCACAATCGGGCCGTCTCCTTGGAGGGCCCGTGGGGAGAGTGAGGACGGCTGAATGCCGCCGGAGAGAAGGCAGCGCCGGGAGTGGAACAGCGATTTCAGAGACCGGTTTTGATCCCTGTCGACACTTGGTGGGGCCTTGCATGAAGCACACCGTTGGTTGTAGTTTACATGGTTGACTTCAAGTGGCTTCTTGTGAGTCATTGTTTGGGATCGTTTTTCATCGGCTCTGATTTATTTCTCCAACGTAGTTTCAGCTTTAATTTCAGAAAGAAAAGAGGAAGCTGATACTAACCCCAGGAGTGGAGAGTCTAGTTTTTGTTTTTTAATATTGAAAAAAAAAAAAAAAAGCCAAGCCAGATCTTGGTGAATTCTAGTTGGTAAAGTGTTGAATTGGAAGTCAGGAGAAGAGATATGATTGCCCGGGCCTCCAGGAGCCAGCAGCTGCTCCGCTGTGACATCAACGTCGTCCTCTTGTGGCGTTAACGCCGTCTTTCCTTTGAGGGCAGTGATCTCAGTGACCTTGTTGGCCGTTTTCACTGTATCCTCCGCAGACAGGCTTTCCTCCATACAGCCTTGTAAGCAGAAGGAAGAATGACGGCAAGGCTTTCTCTGTGGGAGGCTGGGTAGTAACTCATTCGGTAGGAAAACCTAGAAGAGAAACTAGAAACTGCATGGGGGCGGGGGGAGAAAAGTGAAACCCGGACTTTAAGCACAATTATAATCCGTAATCACGTCTTCGAAGCCGACTGTACACGTCCTGTTGACCAGGACGGTGAGTTACTCATCTGGACGTTGTGGCCCGGTAGGGCTTTAGAGTAGCCGGCGCCGAGTTTATGAAACGTCAGTTGAATTGGCTTTCCAAAATCCACTTCCTCTTATGCGTCAGGCACTCAGTGGGGATATTTTGGGGTCTACAGCAGGCCCTCTTTCTTCATGGGACGTATGCTAAGTGAGATGGGGGAGCTTCCAAAGACTCGTGGAAAGATGGAGTGAAAAGAGAATGGAAAACTGTCCACGCACTTTCTGAAGCCCTTTGTAGAGTCGTCCAGAGAGACTTTGAGGAGGAACGGGGGTGGGGTGGGGTGCGTGGCCCTTGGTGCCCTCAGACGAGCTGGTCGAGGACTGGCCCTTGAAGGAGGACTGGGGTAAAGGGCAGGGGCGGCCGGGACAGGCGAGCTTGTGCTGCTGCCTTTGTTGGTTGCTTGGTGGTGCTGTTTGCTCTGGGCATCAGCCGAGTTCCCCAAACGTTGGGCGAAATGGAAACTTGGCTGTTCCTGTCTTTCATTTTTAGCTTATTGCATTCGTCTACTAATGTGTTTCATGAAAAACCAGAAGCCAGTTGTAGGAGCCCTCAATAAAATGATTAAAAAACCCAAAACAAAACCGAGACGCCACGGCCCTTGTCCTGGGAGAAAGACTATTTACTTGTTAGGTTAATAAAGTTTAAATGCCAGATTGAATTTCGAATGTTCGGTGGAAGCAGCAGCATTTCTTGGCTTAGTGGCTAGACGTGAAACAAGTTATTTTGTTTCTGGAGCATAGATGTAGTTGTAGAGTTTTCACTCTGGGTGTTACTTGCGATGCCATGTTTCCCACGTGATTTCATAAGAATCATGTTAGCGCAAAGGTTCATTGACTTAAAGTGCGCCGAGGTGTGGTAAAATAGGTATGCCCTTAACATGCGTATTGACCTTAACAACATTTTTGCATTTTTTAATTTTGAAGATTATTCTTTGAACCCACTCAGTAGAGAATCATGGTAATGTCCATGTTTGGCTGTGTGTTTTTCTGAATGCCAGTTTTCCTCCTTTCAGATTTAGTGGAGTTTAACTTGGGCAGCCCTAAGAATGTCGGGCCCTTTCTTGCGGTGGACCAGAAACACAACATCCTGCTCAAGTACCGCTGCCACGGCCCACCCATCCGCTTCACGACGGTGTTCAGCAGTGAGCTCCACTATGTGGCAAATGAGCTGAATGGCATCGTGGGAGGTAAGAACACAGTGGTGGCCATAGCCGTGTGGTCTCACTTCAGCACCTTCCCCTGGGAAGTGTATATCCGGAGACTCAGGAACATTCGGCGAGCAGTTGTCCAGCTCCTGGATCGAAGCCCTAAGACCGTGGTGGTCATCCGGGCAGCCAACGTGCAGGAGCTAGGCCCCGAGGTGAGCCTTTTCAACAGTGACTGGTACAATTTTCAGCTGGACACCATCCTTCGGAGAATGTTCTCAGGTGTTGGAGTGTACCTGGTCGATGCCTGGGAGATGTCTCAGGCTCACTATCTACCCCACAAGCTGCATCCAGATGAGATTATTGTGAAGAACCAGCTGGACCTGTTCTTGTCCTTTGTGTGCCCACTGGAGACCTAGCCCGTCTTAGTAAGAAGGGGCGGCATCCAGTGACCTTTCCCATCACTTCCATGATAGGAAGTCCATGGGTGGCCCCATGGAGAGATTAAGCGCTATTGATTTGAACAAGATTTCAAAAATACCTGGACTTTATATAATGACTTGTAAGGATCTTAGAAATTACAGGCTATATTTATACTTGTATAAACCTATAGGAGTCTTTCCAACAATGACTTAGCCATGGAAGAAACATTACTAACAGCACCTACATACGACATTGTCCTTGTACCCAAAGATGCCAATGAGTACATTCTATCTAGATTCTCGAGGGAGGGGAGACACGTTCCTCCCCATCTGAAAAATGCCTCCCCCATCACATAAGGGTCAAGTATGGTTGGCATAGGGTGCTTGCCGCTCACGTAGGGCAAGGCACTGAGCACCTCTCTGTGTGGGCAGCCTCCACAGTACGTCTTTCAACCTGATGAACCAGAGCAGACTTCTCAGCGACTTCTGGAAGATGGCACCCTCACCGGCATTTCCCTTGGTGGAAATTTCCTTTTTTCCAATTGCTTGGAAAAGCCTGTGAGCTTGGTCCGGACTTTATAGTGAGGATAGTTACTATTTCCTGCCTTTTCCCCCCTAGAGTAGAAGCAAAAGGAAGAAATAAGAAACTGGTACCCAGGAAATCTGTGCTTTGGGTTGACATTTGCACTGGATGATGGTTTCTTATTTAATTCAGCTAAGTTTTACATCACGGATGTTATTTTAAGATAATCCCTTTGGGAACCGGAATAAACTGGAATTATTTTTGTGTTCTGAATGTGAGGGTCTTGGGGGTTGACTGTCAAGTAAAGAATGCCGTTGATGACAATACAGTTGTGGAGACTGTTGCCACCAATTTTAAATGTCCTTTTTGTTGTTATTGCTATCGCCTTGAACTGTGTCCCCAAACTAGTAATTATGACCTAATTAGAAATTAATTTAGATTTTAAAACCTATGACAACTATTTCTTGATTTGGACATAAAATACACATTCACATACTTAAAAATAAAAAGCCCTTATTCCTTCTGGTTATGTGAAATTAATTGAATTATCAATTTTTATTTGATTGTCCTTGCCTTATTAATTGGAAATGACTCACTTAATTTGCAGGCAGCCTGGTGGCATAGGGGGTTGTGTGTTGAGCTGCTAACTCCGCGGTCGGCAGTGTGACCCCAGCAGCCACTCTGTAGGAGAAAGATGAGC